GGTTTGGCTGCCTCTTTTTTAAACCCATCAATACTCATAAACTGCTTCGTATCACACTCATCCCACAGACTTCATGGGATTGTTCCACATTTACAGGACCAACTGAGCGAGCTCTGCCAGCCACAGTCAGATCAAACTGCTCCTCCCCTATTCACCACCCACCCACATCCACAGGACAGAAGGACTTTGGTACGCATGTGCTGCGCGAGTAAGAGGAGAGAATCACACCGACCGAAACGCTGCCTTCCCCCCGAGAGAACAGGAGCACCTCGTTATTCAGTACAGCATGCACTTCCCCATTGTGTACACCTGCTATACATAACCACAAAGTTTCAAACATAGATCTCTTGGCTTCTTGTTCATTTTCCACAATGTCTAACTCGGTGATAATTTTGCCTGCCAGCCAGAAGGGAACAGACCAATTAGTGAAAGCGTAGATTTTCAGATTTCAAAGATGTTCTTGGGTTTAAATAAGTATTAGTCTCTACATTTCTAAATTGAGCAGAATCTTTTTGTCATTGGAAAATTTGAAATTATTCCAGAAAAATGATGTATAATATAATCTTAAACCTATTAAATACAGTTCCATTTTTCAGCCAGCTCTGTTTTACACCAGCAGAAGCCTATTGAAGTGGTAACTCAGATCAGAGAGAATCAACGGTTTTCTCTGTGTGATTATTTGTATCGCAGAGCTGTGTGGAATCAGAGTCATACAGGGAGGGTATGCAAGGGGGGGGACTGTGCAATCGCAAAGCAAAAAAATGCACAACCTGAGGAACTATAATCTAAGCAAATGGAGCAGTTCTGCTGCCAGCCGCAGTATTTTAAAGCTCTCAGGAGTCAAAGTATTTAAGCAATCCCTAATTTTAAATCACAGTTACAAAAAATATTTACTGAAGTACTGTGTTTCAGGTTTAATCTTATGGAATTCACAGACTTGGAGGTAAAATATATTTTTCACAGTTCTATGCTGTTTTCTCAGTTCTATTTTGATCCTTCTGGTAGCCTGCCCAGGTAGCAACTAGACAACTGAAGCTGATAAATCAGAAATCGCAATCACTGCTCAAATGAGGAAAGCTTTAGCAGAAGTCTGAATTTGAGCAGGAAGAATGGTTTTCGTTTTCCTTTTGACTACAGCAGCCGTATGCATTCTTAGCAGTAAAATGCCAGCCACGTTTCAAAAAGTCACATGCCGCATTGCAATATGTAAAAAAGAGGTCTCTGTCAAACATGCTTAGGCCCAAAATTGGACAGAGATTAAAAATAAAACCTATCACTCCAGTGGTGGGAATTTCAAACACCCCTGGGGGTACAATCTTTGCAGGAGGCACATAGAAAAGATCTGTAAACTCAGCTCCCATTAGTATCTCTGCAGCATCAGTCAGCAAACCTCAACTATCCCCTCCAGGTAGGGTAAAGGAATTGGTAAATCTTGTGCAGAAGTAAATTATGTGTTTCAGATAATATTTGTTTCATAAAAAAGAAGGCAGAGCAGAGAGAGAGTTTTATCAAAATCCATGATACCAAGAAACAGGTTTTTTCTTCTCCCTGAATTGCTTTTTGGAGATGAGCCTTGAGGGCCTTCATTCTTCTAAAAGAGCCAGCTGAGCTTGGATTTCTACCCATATTATCCAGGAAAGGGCCTCATTCTCAAAAGAGATTGACAAGTAATTGCTCCAGTGGAGGCGAACTGCAAATCCCTCACCCCAGTTTGTCCTCCCTCCTCCCTCAGAGCAACCCAGCCTCTAGAACTTGTTGAAATCTGGTCAACCAATCTCGGAGCTGTGGTGTAACCTGAGCCCAGGGATGTCTGGCCTTTCACAGCACAAAAGACCAAAAATATTTCAGTCACTGTGCAACCATGTTTCAAGAAGGCTGAGGATGAGAAGGAAACATCCTTCCTACAAGTGGCAGCCTCTGACAGAGCAACTGAGTAGACAACAGGAGACGACAAACTCTTGAGCCACCAAGGCGGAGTGTGAGAAGGACTGTAAATCAGAGACTGTGCATGCTCCAAAAGGGAAGCTGAGGTTTCTTGATGCAGAAATATGCTCCTAGACTTAGGGACCCAAACTGTTTGGTTTGGAACAGACAACAGCATCATCTTTCATTTTACAACTGCTCCCAGGAGGTAGAGGTGAGTACCGCTTTCCCCTTTTAAAAAACACAAGCTTATTGTCTTGGTGTAAATCCCCAGCTTTGGGGGTCTTAGTGTTCTTGATCCTCAAGTGGGCATCTCAAGTATGGTCTCCAATGAGGTGACAAAGCCCCAGAAGACCCACTTCATGCTTAGTTTTCCCCTAGACAGATTCATGCCCAATGCATCGACCTCTAGAGCACCAACGTATCTCCATGTGCTTCTGTGCATATTTTTGGAGTCCAGACCTGAATGTGGCCCTTTGTACCTCAGCTATCATTTTGCTGACAAGATAAGAGTATTTTTATTCTGTGCCTTGTTTATTTAAATGTCAACCCTTTAAATCAGAAGCATCCCTCACTGTGTGCATAAATCTGATAGAGCATCAAGGGGGATGGGAGAATGGGAGCTCTAAGCACAGTAAAAACGGCAGTAAAACTATACATCCTGTTTACAAATACATTCTTAATTGCTATTGTTAGAATACAATCTTCTATGAACTTTTTCTCTATTGCTATAGACTAGCTATAATATAAAAATCTCTTGACTGTTTAAATGATGTGGCTAGGAAGAAGATTTCTCCCGCTGAGAATGGAGACAATTTAGAATATGGAACAGAATGGGATAAGATGAATATTCAGAAACTCATGGAGTCAACTTTCTGCACACACAGATTAAATCATTAAAAAATGCCACTGCCTGCAGTATCAACACCTAGTCATAACTGCACTATTTATAATGGGATATTAAACTTTAGTTATGTTACTGTCTTAGGCTACATAAACCACCACGAAAGTAGAGAATAAATAAGGTTCTTGCAGATTACTTAGTTGTAGCAAACAGGAGGCTGCACTACTCACAATTTTGCTTTGCAAAGAAATTCCGTGGTTGAGAGGTGGTGGGATGGGTTGGGGGGGAAACAGGACCCCAACTAGCATTAATCAGCATGGCCCCAGTAGGCCATTAATCAGTATGGGAATCAGTGGGGTAAAGCCTCAGCCTTGGTAAACTTGCAGACCTCTACTGAAACGGGTAGGTCACACCGTGTGAACTGCTCTAGCTCCACTGAAGTAAACTGCTTGTCACCACCTAGGGATTTGCATCCTGTTGTTAGAACTGGGAAGGATAGATATAGGTCATGCTCTTGTTCATAGGGGCTAAAACCTCCCAGAGTTTGTGCTGCTAGGGGCTATCTGCTTCCCTGGAGAGAGAGAAATGCACGTGAGCTTGAGCAGGTGAGATGGATATGTGACCTTACAGTGCTGATCCAGAATCTGACTCTTCCCAAAGTCAAGGGCAGTTCTGGCAGTAACATCCATCTTGAGTGTACTGTTTAATGGATAAGGAGCTGTAAAATAGCATGTCCATTCTAAGCGTCTTGTAGTAATGCTTCCCATAGTGACCTACTGGAGAGAGGAACCAGTACTATCATATGCAAGCTGCTTAAAGACCTGACACTCACAAGCTCCATCCATATAGGCACAGCCAAGGAAGGACAGTGGTTTGTCCGTGGGCCCTGCGGTCACCCCACATGAGCAGGGTGGGATCTGCGGGCCGCCTGAGGTAAGAATCTAATAATTTGACCTACAGCCATGATGCCAGTTAGCAAAAACTCACTTGTTTCATTAAAGGAATTGCAAGCAATTGGTGGTTTGTTTTCCATTGCTATGAATAGTCTCATCATGGCTTTCAGAAACTGTAGTTCTATCCTACTCATGTTAATAATTTGACCTACAGCCATGATGTCAGTTAGCAAAAACTCACTTGTTTCATTAAAGGAATTGCAAGCAATTGGTGGTTTGTTTTCCATTGCTATGAATAGTCTCATCATGGCTTTTATGGCTTTCAGAAACTGTAGTTCTATCTTACTCATGTTTCTTACTGCAGAAATTGGGAATCTCGTTACCCAATATACAGATGTGGGCTGTGTGTTACTCCAGCTAACGCAGTACATGCCAGCTACAGCAAGAGCTAGGTCAGTCTAGTAGTGAGACTACTTTCAGTTCTGCCACCTATGCCTGCTGCAGGACGTTGGAAAGGTCTCTTCATCTCCCATTCCTTCACTGTTCTTTCAAACCCTTCTGCTGTTTTCTGTCTTTGGGCTGTGAAAGAATTGAATCTTTCACTTCCTCCTTGCACAGATGAGCCCGTAAGGTTAGAGTTCCCTACAACCCCATTTGGGTGGAATGTGTTGCCTCTCTCCAGCCACCCTGACCTTCCAACAGTTGCTTACAGGAAAGTAACTGAAGTCAAACTGAGACCAGAAGTAAAAACAGACAGTGCTTCTACCCATAGTGTAATACAGGTATTGTTGCTCATGGCTAATGCTTTTGTTTTACAAAGAGATTGAAAAGTTTTGTGACTCCTGAGCCTGGCCGGGCATCTTCTGCCTGGAGTCCTTGGCCTCACCACTCTCTCAGAACTGTTCTTTGGGTGAACAAAGAGTAAGACATTCCCATCCGATCATTTTCCTGCATTAGTAACAGGATTACCAGAAATCTATTTTTTCTTTTTAATATCCTTCCACTTTCAAAGCTGAGGAGCCTTGCAGCAAATGAATGTATTTGGCTACAGGTCCTGCACAGGCATATAAACCCTAGATAAGCTAAAACTGTTTTTAAAAACTGATTTTTTTTTTCCTCAGGCAATATTGTTATGTCCACCTTTTAATCTGTCATTGGATGTCAGACTTAGCACGTTGATAACTTGGCTCATTATCCATTTAATTCGGTTTTGACTGCTGATAAAGTAATTACACCATTTGACAAAGGGAAGGACAGGCTGAGGAAGTTGGAGTAATTTCATGCTAAAACACATTGTACATTAAGATGTATCGTATTGAGTGTTACAAGGACATACTTACTGTGGTCCATCCGACCTGCTGACCCAGGTCCGTAAAATACAGTGTAATGATGGAGGAAACGGCAAGGCTTTGAATGTTAACGGAATCCTTCAAATAGGGCCCATCTGTAATGAGAAAAAGGGAAGAGGATGGCATGAACAACAGGCATCCTCTCAGAGGCTCAGCATAACGTGTAGGCTGCCCTGCTAATGGTCAAGGTGTAGGCCCAACTTGTATTCTGATTTATTTTGGTGACTTGGTACTTATTCTCCAGGTTACAGCATTTCTATGAGAGTTATTCTCCTCTCATTTTAACAAAAGCATTAGGCTGACATGGCACTGGGAGGCAACGCATAGCAATTGTTTCGATGTTATCTCTGTTAATCTAGACCATTAGAGATATGCCATGCAATCACACAATTTCATGGAGCACTTTTTGTTCCGTCTTGCAAGACTAATGGGAAAGTCAATGTTATGCAGTGTCTCCCTCACTGATATCTTTTGCTGAAGCGTTTGCATTCTCAGCCTATTTTACAATAGATGGCACCATCATGATGAACGCAACTTCTTGGACAAAGGCCCACAGTCCAAGGTTTCTTTGTAAGCTGTCTGACCTAGGCAGACCAGGTGTATCTGAGCATTACTTTACTTTTACAGTATTCTGAGGCATCTGCTTCCAGTCCTGATGGACCTAGAGTGTACAGGCAGAGACATAAAATGGCAATATCTGGTTCTCTTCTTTTATAGAGGCAGAGTTGGATATTGGGAAACCCCAACAGACAC